GTAGATGTGACTACATGAGTCAAGCAAGTATTGATAGGTTGAGAGGAGGTTGATCGGGTCGGGTCCCAAGCTTCTTCTTTATAGATACCTAGCAGAACCAATCGAGGGGCGATTTCGGTGGAATCAATGGCATAGAATTCTTAACTTAATACGGAATAGATACCAGCCTTATTATTATCGGTCATATAGAATCGCAGAAATGAATAAATAGCATAAGGGTAACTCGTCAGTACCAAGGCGATCAAATGCTCGCGTGTAATAATTTGACCGACCGAGAGTGAAAGATGGATGGACTTTCTAACATGCAGGACAATCTTTTTTTCAATTAGTTTTCTGATTGGGTCAAGAAGAGAGAGGGCGGGCTTCTTGATCACTTCTTGTCAAACGTGGTACTGGTTATATACTTTTTTGCTTTTGCCAATGCAACGAATGAAATAGCTGGGAAGCTAAGGAAAGAGAGAAACGCAAGCAAGCAAGGGGAAGGAAATTGGGAGTCAAGTACCGTATTTACCAAGAATATGGAGCTCTTTGCGAATCAAAATGGCAAAGAAGGAATGCAATTTATTATTCCGTCGCCAAAATGCTTCCAAGGAGCGTGTTTTGAATGGCGGGGTAGATAATTGATAAGGATTAGATAGATAGATACCCAGTCGATAGAGAGATAGATAGATAGATAGATAAATAAAGCTGATAAATATCTTCTCCGCAAAATCCGATAATGTTGTAGTAAAGGTTCGTAGCGGAAGAAAAGGGTCGAAGGATCGGTTGTTTCCTTGTTTCCGTGAAAGAGTAGGAGTGAGATCCAGAAAATCCAATAATCTGATATGTCGCCGACAAGACCGGCAAGACGTGTATTAGAATGGAGTTCAGCCTGTCCGGTGAAACGGGTGCAAGCTTCCACTTCTGAAAACCTCGAGGAACTCGGCCGTTGATACAAGCAAATGAGATGAGATGGTACAACCGACAGTCTTACACGATTGGGTAAGACGGGATAAAATAGGTAGGTAGTCCAATCCAATATCGAAGAGAGGAGTGAAGCGAAGTAGGGTCGATAGTATGTGTGTAGTGCGTAGTATGTAGCTTGTAGTTTGTAGCTTGTCGTACCAAGACCTCGGCTTGAAAGGTAGCGAAGGATGGTTGATATCAAAGTTGAGTTTGAGGTTATTGATCTTGTAGCTGTTTGTGCAAGTGTACACAAAGGTTATGCAGCCAGTATAGAAGGACTTCAGGCTGAATACCTAGGGTCGTAAGTAGGTAGAAGAAGTAGACGGTGGCTCAAACTTCGGTAATTTGGTTGGAAGAAGTTGAGAGGTTCAGGAGGCGAGGATATCCTTTTATGTTCTTCACTCGTGCATACAACCTCAAGTCACTTGACTTCGCAGAAAGGTTTGAAAGTAGTCTCTACCAGGTTTTCCAAGATTTTAATAAAAGGTTGGGGAGGTTTCACTCAATAATCAGAAGTAAATGGTATCGAAGACTCATACTTTCCCATCCTCTCGAACCTAGCGAACCACCATCCACACCTTTTCATGCCTCTTCACACCCTCTCGCTCCTACATTCGCATCTTTACAACCTTAATCAGATCTATTGATCCATGTCCGGTATTTGCTACCTTGCCCAAAAAGATTGCAATGGAGGGTTGAATGTCTCAAAGTTGAACCACACGCTAATACGCAAGCTCGATAAGATATGTGAGGTAGGGAATCATGCAAGACTTGCGGGATTCCTATGGCCTTGAAGAGGAATAGGCTACTATGCATTGTACTGTATGTAGGTAGACATCTACTCTAAGACTGTGCCACAATACTATTTTCGGATACAGATATTTCGTACTCCTCCTGCGCGTAAATGTATAATAGAATACAGTTGCGTCTTTCCACTTAGTTCTAATTTCATGGATTCAGATTTCACCAGATCTGACTACACTATACGCGACTAGGTGAATTAAATACTGTGTGACCTGATTATAGTAGTGAAATCGTTCTTGTCACTCATTGACTGGACTGGCTGGTTCGTCAAGGGCGTCTGTGTACCGGTACATTTCCAAACCCCCTACCGACTAGCGGCATATTATGTGAGATATTTTAGCGTCAAAGCAACAACTTCCCATCATCATAAGCTTTCGCATGATTGCCTATCAACAATACCACCTACACCCAAACCTGACTCTTCCACCACCATCAGCGATAAAAAGAACCCACCATAATAATTCCAAAGCAAAATACAAGGGCTTATCGCATACAACTTGAGCTCAACGCTAAAAGAGCGCTTATTGCTCTTCATTCCGATCAATCCTTAGAAGCTATACCACCACACCCCATTCCTGCTGACTGCGACAAACCGTCCTCAGATCCCACCTTCATCAGACATCCATTATTCGATTTCATCATCAAGAGCCTCTAGAGTGATCACGAGGAGATCTTTCATTGCATAGCGATATTCCATTCAACCAAAACCCTGTCCGTTGAATAGGTCATTGGACACCCCTTTTCAACATTTGCAAAGAAACCAGTCGCATTCTTTCCACGAGGTCGATTAACGCACGACATACCTGCAGACAATTTATACTGAGTAGGACACAAACGGCCGTATTTTCTTCAACAAAATACCCCGAATCGATCGCATCTCTTCGGTCCATCTCTAAACTAGGTTCTTAAACTCGGATCAATTGCCTACCTTATCTTGAACATTCACGGCATCTGCGAAAGAAACGACAGGGGTGGGGAAACAACATCAGTACTACATACAGCCATAACTACCGAAAGATCATCGCGACCATGGCTTCCTCCTCTTTCAGAGATTCCATGAATTCCTTAGGCTGGTCGCGTCGCGACCCGGACCTACCCGTAAACACTGCTCAGCAGACCGGTGGCCTATTATCCTCGATAAAATCGCTGAATCCATTTGGAGATAGTGGCTATGTTCGACTGCCTACCACAGAGGGTGCGGGTGCGCCTCTACCTGGTCGAAATCGCCGCGAAGAAGAAGAAGGATGGTTTGCCTGTAAGTCAACCTCCCTAACTTTCTCACTTCCCCACACGTTGCACTGTCCCTGCATCCGCCGCCACCTGGTGCGACGTACAGTGGCGTCGTTTACCAGTGTGGCTTGACTGTCTTTTCGTGTTACTTCCAAAAATTGCTTATTCGAAGGCTGACTGACTATTGATTTTCTTATACTCAGTGAGTAGGTGGGATCGACTTTTATTATTTGCTGGGTTTAATATCGGTGCATTGGCCTGTTTTGTTATTTGTTTCGTCTTATTCCCGTACTTGATCGTTCTTCCAACCAAGTTTGCGATTTTGTAAGTCTCACTTTCCTTGCCATCTGAAACACATGTCCTGCAAGTTTCGTCAAATACGAGTCGCAGTACTCCAAACTTTTAGCAATATCGCGTCCATGCAACTACGCGTCGGGCATTGCGTATGGAGCTTAAAGTTTGTCGATCAGTCATGATACTACTCAAGCATCGATGAATGGTTTAAGACTTTGAAGGATTACGAAGTTACGATATATACATCTACACCCTCAAAACTAACTTGGAGCGTGTGACATCTAGATGGACCCTAGGTTCAATGTTATTCCTCGCATCATGGGCCGCGATGATGGGCCCGTGGACGTACATGAACCACCTGATATCAGCGCCACGCCTTCCGTTTACCGCGACTTATTTTGGATCTATTGCGTTGACCCTATATTTCAGTCTAGGCGTAAGTATTTACATAGATGTTTCTTCCCACCATCTTCCAATAATCTAATCTTGTGTGTAGCTTCGAAGCAAGCCATTGACCTTGATCTCGGCGATTATCCAAATAATCTGCTTGACTTGGTATCTGGTCAGCTATTTCCCAATGGGTTCTAGTGGTCTTCGACTGGCGACAAACTTTGGAGTTAATAGAGCAGCGGCGTGGATGTCAGGTTAAAGCAGCGGAATCACATCAGGCATTCCTTTGAAGCGGCAATTTTGTAGATCTAGCACATACCCATTTTCATGCCATAGTAATTATTTTGACGTCTCTTTCTATGAGGTTTGTATCAGCGTGTCAATGTACGTATCAAATGACGCGGATATGTCGGAAGTTATCCGTGAACGAAGAGAAGCTTTTGTAACCTTTCACTTGCGTGCAGCATCTCGTTTGAAGGACGTGACATAATACGTTCTCCCGAGTTATGTAGTGGTACCGACCTTCTCTCTGCGTATATGCAGGAAGAGGAGTGGTTGCAGACAATGGTGACACAAGATCTTCTCATATGCTTGCAAGTGTATGCGAGTCGACCGAAAGGACATGTATCGCTGGCGCGGAGGTGACATTTCAGGAAAAGCGCTCATTACATAGGGATCTCAGATGTCGTCATTTGCAGATTAGATAGTTGGCTTTCACGAAAACGGGGAATGAGAGATATCGTGAAGAGAGTGTGGGGTTCGGTAACCCGGTGATTGGGATTTGCACTTTACGAATGAATATCTCGGAGCTGGCTCCTTCGTCTGAAGATTCGATAGAATTGCGGTCTGGATTTTGGTAATGTGATGTTGCTTCATGATAGGTAGGTAACTAATGTAAGATAACTTTAAAGTTTGAACCTTAAAGCACGGATGGATATAAATATCATCATCGTGGAGATGTTACTTCACATTAAATGAGATGGCTTGACATCTTTGAATCAGAAAGAAATGAGATGGCTCTGGGACTCTGAATCATAGAGTACAAAAATAAATGTAGTCATCATAGGTGTATGTGCTTTCACCATCGTATAAGTTGAAGAAGATGTTATCACCTCAAAGATCTACTTGCAATCTTTTTCCACCATAGATCTACCAAGGACATTCACCGCTTGTATAGTGGGTAGCCTTTATTTCTTTCCATAGGGCTGCTGAACTCTTTTGATGAGACAATCAGATGCAGAGATAGGTCATCATAATTCGACAGCATGAAATTTTCACATTGGTAAGATGGGCCAGAATGAGGGGGCGGGCGTGGGCATGATGATTGCCAGATACGATCAATGATACGGTGGCGATGACCAGGTGGATACGATACCATTATCTCGATAATGGAGGGGTAATTTTTTGGTGTGGATACACTGACTTACGCCCGCACACCTTTCCTCCATTTTCTTCGGATGCGATGTTTCTTTTATTGTGGTAGGCGCGAGATCCAGCTTGATCGATTACAATGTGGTCATTTCGATACCGAATTCCAGGTCCAGATACTCCGCGCTGTATGTAAGTAAGTAAGTAAGCAAGTATGGAGTAAGTACGTATGTAAGACTTGCTTTGGGTTTCAGAATTCTCGGGGAAGGGATGTACGGCATGTGTGTGTGTTTTTTGTGGGGGAATGAAGAATGGGAGATGGTCAGTGGAAGTTCATGAATGTGAGGTTAAAAGAGAAATGGGAAGGTTTAGAGCGTCGCCAAACCTCTCCAATGGCAAGGCGGGAAAGTAGATCCACTCTGTATGCAGGTGAGAGAAAGAGGAAATCACCTAGGTTGACATTGACAAAATTGAATGAAGATTTTCAACCCCTCATTACATTGTGGCTGGATTTGAAGATGGGGACGAGGGCAGGGAAAAGAAGGGAAGGAAGTATTTACCAGGTTATCTTCGGCTACCTACCAAAGAGTTGTTGTGAAGGGATGGCTTTGGATGTTTATTGATGAATAGCCAGAGCAATAGCAAGGGCAGCAATGTAATTTAATACACTAAAGAGAATGACTTCATTCATGCACGGAGTAGGCACATATATTGTGACAGCGTGATACTCGAGTACAACTCTTGGAAGTTTGTAGAAAAGAGTGAAGATATAAAACCATTGTTCGCACGCCCATCTAAATTTAAACGAATGTGAGTACTTCGGCCACGGCAATGAAACACGACAACATTGATGCAGGTGTTTCATGTGTTAACACTCGCAGTAATCGTGATGAACTTATGTCATGTTGGAAGGGCCATATTTGTGTTGTTGACTGGTCATTATATTGAAGGTAGACACTTGATATTGTTAACACTGGGTTTACAGCTGGGTTTACAGCCCTGATGACTGAAGTGCCCTAGGTAGTACCGGGTATATAGACAGGTAATGTGGTAATGTGGTAATGTACCTGAGTGATGTAATGGAATGGAATGATATGTGTGATATGTGTGATATGTATGATATGTATGATATGTATGATATGTATGATATGTATGATATGTATGATATGTATGATATGTATGATATGTATGATATGTATGATATGTATGATATGTATGATAGATATGATAGATATGATTGATGATTGATCCATGTTTCACCCAAGACCGAGGTTTGCATGTGTACCTAGTGTACTCGTATATATATACACACACATATATAACCAAATATAACATGCCTCGAGGCAGTACCTAGATCTGGTAGGTACGCACTTATTTCTGGATGAATGGACTGTTGTCGGTTACCCAAAGATCTGGGTAGGTGGTAGCTAACTCACACACATACTTACACACAGGACCCGAAGTGTCTACAGTAGTAATGTCACCTTAATTCGAGGAACAATCATCTTCATCATAGATCGTCTGTATAATTGATTTTCTAATCGTCCAAATAAAATCGGTCTCAATGTACCAAGTCTCTTTTGCTGTGACTTTTTCTCTCCAAATCCAAAATCATACCAACGGAACTTTCACACCAGGACCTTCCGTGAAGCCGTTCACTTCATTCAGCCTTCATCAGAGAAATTTATTCTGACTTAACACTTAAATTTCTCAGCCGAGAAAATAAAAATCCACTAAATACTGAATCTAACAAAAAATTATTCCCTTCCATTCAACCCTAAAGAATCTGCCTTCACAATTTTAATCTCCATTTTTTTTTCTTCCTTCAACATCTTCTTCCCTTCCGACCCCATTTGGTACCTCTTCTCATAAAAGTGGTGAAGAGAACAAAAGGTCTTCTCTCATTCGAATACTTACTTTTCTATTCCAAAGAGAAAATTCTTTACTCTGAGTTCAGAACGACAACTCCAAGATAAGATTTCAGAGGCGAAGAAGACAGTAACTGACTGTAATAAATTCGTCAAACACTGGGGATTTTACAACACTGCTGGCTCATTTTCTCCGAATTTGAATAGTAAAAGACTGATCTTACAGCATTGATCTTCTGCTATTTCTATTCTCTTCGAAAGGTGCGTGGGGGAATTTCGATGTTCTATTTATGACATTTACTTTTGTGCGGCTTTACATCTGCGCCATTGCAGATCGGAATACTACTCGAAGAAGCTGCGTCCCATGTCATATTGATTCACAGAATTGGTCATATCATGTTGGAATCATACAGCTAACATCCTACAATAGATCATAGTTTCCATTCAGTTGTTCGAGCTTACTTTCGCGTCGCCGCCAGCACCACCTGTGCCATCAAACAAATCTTCCGTTTCGTTCCACGACGTACTGCCCACAGTTCATAAAACGTCGAAACTTGTCGAAACGTCGGTCCTTGATTTCCTTCTTACATCTTCAAGTAGTTTCTTGGACTTCGATATTTTGCGAAACTTGCGCGACGAAATAAGTCTTCACATTCACGCAGATACCCCTCATATCCACCACAAACCAAGTTTCAGCAGCGATCTTCCCAATCCCCATTTTCGCGGTCTGTACTGAGTCGCTTCGATATTTCTTGAGACGTGATATCTGATCAGCGCATCGGGATAGAAGTGCGGAGAGGTCGAGTCAACCTCTCCGGACGTCCATACTGAGGGTGAAATTTTAGTCACCTCTGTATCTACTTCAAGAATTACAGGTACCCATTCGCAAGAATTGGACTTGCTTGATTGAACGAAAGAGTCATACTTTGTGTGATACAATTCATAATGTCATCGGCAACATCGAAATCCGAGGGCACCCCTACCCCGCCTACATTTTCATATGCGATGGCCGCAAAAGGTCGCGTAACTTCAACTGCAAATTCCGCTATGCAATCCAGCCAGGCATCAGCTTCTGGTGTCAGCACACCTGCTAAGGAGTCGAATTCCGTATCGAATACGCCTTCAGCGTCGGTGAATGGGGCAGCAGCATCTGAAAACGGAGATCGAAATACCAATGGTTCCACCGAAGTTCCTAGTAAGAGCGATCCGCTAGGAGTTGGATTAAGCACAGATGCGAACCCAACATCACAAGTAAGCGCAGGTTCCATTCCAGAATCGCCAAGTGTGGTTGCTACTTCAACTGCAACAATACCAAAGGAGGAGGAGCTCGCTTTGAATGTAGCTGCAGATGATTCTGAGCAAGGATGGGAGAAAGCTGGGCGAAATAGAGAAGAAAAGCCTTCCCCGGAGGCGATCGAGGGCAGAAAGTCTAAAAAGTCCAAGAAGCAAAAGAAGGACGACAAGGAGGCAGAAAAGGAGAAAGAGAAAGAGAAAGAAAAGGAAGAAGTGAAGGTGCCAGAGGTTCCTCTGGTGCCAGCTCCGCCTCCGGCTGTAAATTTCTGGGATCAGCGCAAGGAGGCACAAGCCGCAAAGACAAAGTCGAGCCCATCAATACCTCAAACAGCAAACTCCTTCGGCGAAACCTCAAGTTCCACTTCAACTCCAAAGGGTATCGAATCTAGACGAAAGGGAAAGGCTTCTGTTGAAGATGAAAAGGCATCGCAGACTGGCAAAGATACCGTCTCTAAGCAGGGCCAAAAGAAAGGTACAGATAGTCTGACTAAGGGAAAGGAGGATTCAGCCAAACGACCTGCAAGAGGCAGTAGGAGCTCTGAAGACAAAGACAGGAGTGCTGCCAGTTCATTACCCCCTCCAGTCGAGGACTCTCTGGCATGGCCAACACCGGAAACTGCACTGGAAGAGGAGAAGCGAAAGCTTCAAGAGGAAGATAAAGTAAAGAAAGATGAAAAGGATGAGAACCCCTCCAACAAACCAAGGACGAAGGAGAAGTGGGTCCCAGTACCATACACTCCATCAGTCACATTCAATACCCCGCTACCTGTTCGAGGTGGTCGAGGACGAGGTGGTGCTCGTGTAGGTCGTGAGGGTGGACGTACCAGTCATGTACCAAATGGTACTGCGGGAGAGAAGTTGCCAGGAGGTGCCACTAAGCCTGCCGAGTCTGGTGAAGAACCCGAAAAACGTGGGGTCAGATCATCATCACTTCCACCAAACTCTTCTAAGAGACTTTCAAATGAAGATGAAGTCAGTCGTGATGCACGCAAGCATACATCAAATGCAGAGAAATCAAAGGGGGGTGCCAACAAGAATGAACCTGTATCACCAACTGACAATGGGCGAACTTCAACTTCTCCGCAAACCGATAAGGATAATCAAACCAGCCAGAAAGGACAAGGTGTTGGCGAAGGACAATTCCCAGCAAGATCTGGCTTTGGTGACCGCAGAAACGATGGCTCCGGAAGCTCTGACTTCAAGAACGGAAGCAAGGATCAGAGAGCTGAGGGTCGAGCAGAAAGAGGCCGTGGAGGTTATCGTGGCAGAGGCTCTCACAATACTTTTGCCAATGGTCATGCTTTTGCCAATGGCCATAACACGATTCCTCCTTACCAAGGGCGTCAAAACTCAACACCATACAGTCCCCCACCTCAAGGACCCTTTAGCCACCAATACGCACAAGCTTCTTCCCGTGGCCGCGGTAGCTCGAGATCACAATCTATTCCAAATGTTGCCATGTATCCAAGAGGTGGCTTTACGAATGGTAATCAACAGATGCCAGCTCTTCAAACAATGTACGACTATGTACCAATGCAGGCCATGAGCGCTATGCCATACGGTCCTTTTGACGGCCAGTCTGCTACTGTTTTGTCAATGGTGAAGATGCAATTGGAATATTATTTCTCGATAGACAATCTTTGCAAAGACGTCTTCTTACGGAAACACATGGACTCTCAAGGATTTGTGTTCCTACAATTTGTGGCCGGGTTCAAGAGAATCCAGTCTCTTACATCAGACATTGACATGTTGAGATACGCTTGTCAACAGTCTACTGAGATAGAGATAGTCAAGGGCGAGGATGGTGTGGATAGAATTAGAAGACGCGATGGTTGGGATCAGTGGGTCATGCCATCTGAGGAAAGAGAAGAGTCAATGAAGCACAATGATGGGCCAACTACACTTATTCGCGATAACCATGGACCACCAAGCCATATGGGCCAAATGATGATGCCAGGTCAAGAGATAGGCTCACCAGCCTTCAGCCCCGGTGGAAATGACTTTATGAGATATGGAAACGGAACCACCCAAGCGCCTTTGGCCAATGGCAACAATAACCACTATCACGAAGAAACACCACTTTCAGCTGCCGTCCCTAACTTCACTCCTGGCTTGTTACC